ACTAAAATTTGCATATATTTAGACATTTCAATGGACACTGATAAAAACAACAACGAGTATTTCAGCGAATATGGTAATCAGGCAGATGATGGAGTTATGGAACTGGTGCCTTACGGCTTTAATAGCGATTCGGACGAGTCGCTGGACCTTCCTTTAAAATCACAAACGCGGAAAAGAAGAGGAAAAGTTGTTAATCAGGCATGGTTCGCAGCAAAAAATAAAAAACTGAGAGAAAATGGCAAACCTTACTTGGGGAAAAAAAAGATAATGGCGTGTGGAATCATCGGAGAGTTAGAAATGCAAGAGTTATTGGAGAACGATGTAGGTGTAAAAAAGCCACTGGGTCTGCTACCCTCCACTGTGCAGAAGTCACTGAAGACCAAAGACAAGTAATCTTTAAACAGTTCTGGAAAATGGATTGGAGAGAGAATCAAACTTACGTAAATACATTGATTCAAGTAACAACACCTGCAAGAATGCGAAATCGTAAAGATAAAAACCAGACAAGAAGGGGTCGAACATTACAATACCATGTAAGGGTACAGCAAAAAAATGTTAAAGTTTGCCAAACATTCTTTTTGAACACTCTTAGCATTGGCAAACGTATGGCGCTTAATTGGGTCAAACAGACAACGATTTCAATAAACACTACACAGAAAAATTGTGGCATTGCACGTCCAAATGTTAATTAATTTTTCGATTCTCTACCGACCATGGAATCACATTACTGCCGTGCAACAACGAACAAAAAATATCTTTTGCCAGAATGGTCTTCAAAAAAACAACTATTTGATTTTTACGTAGAGGATTTTTGTAAGGTACGTGGGGGAACCCCACTCTCTATTTCGGCGTCTCATGATGCATTTGCTGTTAAAAATCTGGGCCTACACTACCCTAAAAAAGATCAGTGTGAAATCTGTGCTCGACATTCTGTGGGAGATATTTTGGATGACGTCTACAATCTTCACCAGACAAAAAAACATGAAGCTAGGGAAGAAAAGCAAAAAGACAAAATCGAAGAGGCCTTTGTGTTTACTGTCGATCTGCAAGCGGTCTTAATGGCACCAAAATCCCAAGTAAGCAGCCTTTATTACCGCACGAAGTTGCAAGTCCACAATTTGGTATTCTACAATTTGATAAGTCATGATGCTTATTGTTTCATATGGAATGAAGTAGAAGGTGGAGTATCTACGGAAGAATTTGCTAGCATTTGGGTGTACTTCATCGAGAAGAAAATAGTTCCAAAACTTACCGAGAATGCAGCTGATACGAAAATTATTCTTTATAGTGATGGGTGCACGTACCAGAATAGGAATGTTACTATGAGTAACGCTTTGCTCAATACATCTATTAAACATGGCGTAACAATTGAGCAAAAAATACTCGAAACGGGACACACACAAATGGAAGCTGACAGCGTCCATTCAGTTATCGAGCGAGCCATTAAACACCGAATTGTTAATGTACCAGCAGAGTATATTGAAATATGTCGCAATGCTCGAAAGAAACCGACACCTTATATGGTAGAGTATTTGGATCACAATTTTTTCAAATGTTTCAAGGGCATACCATATTTAAAAACAATTCGTTCTGGTCGCGGAAAAGGTGAATCAAAAGTCACCGATATTCGTGCAATAAAATACACGCCGCAATGTGAAATATTTTATAAATTGCGTTTTCCAGAGCTATGGAGCTATTTGCAACAAAGAGTGAGCAGAAGTGTTGTGCCAACTGAATGGTCTAATTTGACTCAACTTCACCAAGAAAGAAGAAAATTAACAGCCAGAAAATACGCAGATTTACAATATATAAAAACTTTTTTGCCAAGAGACTACCACCAATATTATGACGACCTGCCACATGAGTGATATCTATTTATTTTTGTTTAATTTATAATTTACAAACAGCAATGAGGAAGACTATAGATTTATTAATTTTTGGGATACCCAAAACAAAAATTTTCCATTAATTACTTATGTTTTCCTTTAAACGACAGCAACGAAGTAAGACTGTATAACATTTTTTTGTGATAATAAAATACGCCGTTGGCAAAAAATCTTTTACTGCAATACTTCGTTTTGTAAAATGTCCTAAGTCCAATACATAAAGTGAGTATAATTCCATAAAATGTGCTAAGTCCAAAACAAGCTTATTTGAGGGCGCTCATTCTATTTTTTTTAATATGTATTTTTTTTAACTTAAATGAAATATGAAAGTTGACAAAATTGCATTAAAAAAAACCTTTGCACGTTAAGCCGACGAAATCTCTTCTCACTTTTTGTAGTTTTCACTTGGTTGCTGAAGTAATGAAGAATTCATAAGGTAAAATTATAGCTCTTGTAAGTTTTATCTTAATGTCTTAAAAACTAGTAGACTTATTTAAAAATGGTAAATGAACGCGAGGTACTAAATTGAATAACCCTTAATTTTATATATCGTCCTGTTTATAACAATTAACGCATTCCATAGATATTACAAGCCAAAGTCTCATTTTCAAAATTCATACACTTTTATTCAATTGCGCGGGCTAAAGATAAGTTTTAAATTAATCTTTCGTGGCCAATAAGAATTGGCTTAGACCTAAGACATCATAATATTACTATTACAATATGGTCAAATGACTTTTATTTTCCCCCATACAAAATCGACCCAGCCTAATGTACATACACATAAACATGTGTACATACTTACAAATATATTTACAACCATTCAAACATATGTGCATACATGAAAACATTCCTGTTACATTCCATGAGCGTTGCCAGTTTAGCCTTCGAAATGTAGGCTTTAACTTCGTGGCTGTTTTTCTAGCCTTTTCTTATTTTCAAACTAGCATTTTTTTAACCCTTCTGCAGTGCTTGGAATTTACCCCTTCCTTTAATGTTTTGGGTAATTTTCCCCCAATAATAGAAATGAGTCAATTTTATGAAAAAAATATTGAATTCAGTTAATATTTTATTTATCACATGCAGAAACTTTATCGACAAGTGCTGTATGCTTACCGGTTCAAATTTGTCCTTAACTACTAAATAATAATTTGGGTCAGAATGACCTAAAAACCCTGTGGGTGTATGGAAAAACTATGTTGCCTTCTAGAAAACAAAATAAAAGGAAAAAACTCTTTTATAACCAGGAAAAGCACGGGAATGACGTCGAGCCCTACATCCTGAGAGAGAGATAGTTAGTCGCCGCTGCAATGCCGTAGCCATTCGGGGGTCCTCAGCCCCTTCATCGCCTCTGTTATTGCGTCACATGCTGCCGACCATTTTTCGTTACTTTGTAGCATAGCCTCCACGAGTAACTCAGGCGTAAAACTCTCGCCAGATATGTTGCGAAGATTGCATCTGGTACTGTCAAATCACATACACTCAAAAAAGACGTATTCTGTTACATCTCGTCCGCAGTAGTCGCATATGGGTTCCGGTTCGTGTTTGAATCGGTGAAGCACCCGTGTCGAGTTAAACAGTTTGTCAAATAGAAATCGACTTCGCCGTTTAGTCTGCTTCATTAGCGTGTATGTACGGTTTGCTCTTCACTATGCGCGCTCCAATTGAATCATTCCTGATTGTAATGTATGAACATATTTGGTGGTACACTATTTTGTTTTTAAGGACTATAGGTTTTCAGACCCTAAAAGAGTCCTTTTTATTATTAACCCTAGAATACTAACCTTATTTTTTATTCCTTTAATACTAACGTTCGCCTGTA